TCCCCCCCCGCGCGCCCACCCCGCTCGGTCCCGCCGGTCCATTTCGTCCGTACGGCGCGTCGCCTCTCGACCCGCCGCCGCCGAACCGCGCCTCTCGCGGATCCGGTCCCCCGCTTCGTCCGTATCGATCCGTATCCCTACGCGCGCGACGAACGACGCCCACGATGTCAGTCTCATCCCTCCCGCGCGCGCGCGCACCGCGCGAGCGCCAAAACCCATCGCACACGCGATCGATCGCGGTGTCGATGCGATGCGTCAACGATCGCGATCGCCCCCCCCGCGTCGCCCGCGACGACTCGCCCCGATCCGATCCGTCTCCATCGCGCGCGTGGATATTCTCTTCGTTCGCGCGCGCACCTTCCCGACATGCGCGCGCGCGATCGACGCGCCGCGGCGTCGAGATGTGTCGATCGTCCGCCTCGCGTCCCGCCGCCGCCATCGCTCGACGCGCACATCCGACCGCACCGACGCCCGCGACCGCGCGCGCGCGGACGACGCCCTTCGAGGACGTCAAAGAATTTACATCGCGTCCATCGCGCGCGCGATGCGAGCGATCGCGCGCGGCGGGGCGACGCCGAGCGCGATGGCGATCGCGCGCGTCGTCGCGGACGCGCGTTCGATGCGACGGCCGCACGCGCGTGGACGCCCGCACGCGCGCGCGCGCGCGTCCTGGCGCATGTCGGACGACGACGTGCGTGATGATGCACCGCGTGCGGACGCGCGCGCGACGTCGACGAGCGAACGGACGGGGCGAACGGGATGGGAGGGACGACGCGCGCGCGAAGTCGCGGAGGACGCGCGCAGGCGAGGGACGGCGACGCGGTACGATCGACGGGCGATCCGGCGAGAGCGAGGGGATGGACCGACGATCGCGGAGGGGTTGATCGGGGAGATGGTGTACGGGACGAATCCGGTGTTGGAGGCGTTGCGGCAGAATCGACGGACGCTCTTCGCGCTGTACGTGCAGACGGGCGAGGGCGGAGGCGGACACGGAACGTCGGAGATCTTGCGGTTGGCGAAAGAGTTGAAGGTTGAGGTGAAGAGTGCGAGTAAACATGATTTGAACATGGCGTGCGATAATAAGCCGCATCAAGGGGTGTTGCTCGACGCCGAGGCGCTGGAGATTCCAACCGTCGAGGAGTTGCCGAGATGGAACGGCGTCGGTTCGCCCCCGGTGTGGCTCGCTTTGGACGAGGTGGTGGATCCGCAGAACCTCGGTGCGATGCTTCGAAGCGCGCACTTCTTGGGCGTGGACGGTATCGTCGTCTGCACTAAGAATAGCGCCCCGTTCAACGCCACCGTGAGCAAGGCGAGCGCGGGCGCGATGGAGGCGCAAGTCGTCCACCGCACGGGCGTCATGCACCGATTCCTCGCCAGAGCGCGCGACGACGGCTGGGACGTCGTCGGCGCCGCCGCCGATCCGCGCGCCGAAAACATTCACGCCTTTGAGGTCGCCGCGCCCACCGTTCTCGTCGTCGGCAACGAAGGCGTCGGCATTCGCACAAACGTTCGCCGCGCGTGCAACCGTCTCGTCTCCATCCCTCGCGGCGTCTCCGCCACCGACGGCGTCGACTCCTTAAACGTCTCCGTCGCCGCCGGCATTCTCATCCACGCCCTCTTAGCGTCCAGAACCGTGTAACATGTCCGCCGCGTCGCGCGTCTCCCTCCAGACCCTGACATCGGGTGTTTTATCCACCCACCCACGCGCGCGCGCGTCCCCCACGTCTCCGCGCGCGCGCCCTCGCGGGCGTCGATCGGCACCGTCATCCGTCGACGCGCGACCGGGACGCGGGCGACGGCGAGCGCGCGAACGAGGCGCGCGTCGACGAAGGTCGATCACATCAATCACATTCCACGCGATCGATGCGAACGATCGCGATCGCGCGCGCGCGCACCGCGAACGCGCGCCGAGCGCTCACGGACGCGCGTGGAGATGGGCGACGACGTCGCGCGACGGTGACGCGGGCGAGAGTGGAGCGAACGGCGGTGGGATGGACGACGCCGAGGCGCGGGCGCGGAGGGGGATCGCGGGACGCGGGCGACGGCGGAGGCGGACGCGCGGCGACGATGCGAAGCGCGGCGAGCGAGGACGCGGATGCGATTGAAGAGATGGAGAGTAATAAGTCGAGGGATTTGGGGATCGTGGCGGCGTGTCTGGGGATGTCGTGCGCGTTCGGGGCGGCGATCGGGGCGACGAGCGGGTCGGACGCGGCGTCCGAGTACTTCGCGGGGTACCTCCTCGAACAGAGCCTGAGCGTGGATAATCTGTTTGTGTTCGTCTTGTTATTCGAGTACTTTCAGGTGCCGCCGGCGAGGCAAAAGGTTGTGCTGAATTATGGGATCTTCGGCGCGCTCATCATGCGAGCCGTCATGATCGTCGCGGGGGTGGAGCTCATTGAAAACTTCAAACCGATTCTCCTCGTTTTCGCGGGTATTTTGATCTTCAGCTCGTACAAACTGATTAGTCAAGGTGACAGCGATGAGGAGGAGGACATGGCGGACAACGCGGTCGTGAAGTTTTGCTCCAAACTGTTTGACGTGAGCGACGACTACGACGGCGACAACTTCTTCACCGTGCAAAACGGGGTGAAAATGGCGACGCCTCTCCTTCTCGTCCTCGCCGTGGTCGAGATCAGCGACGTTGTGTTCGCGGTGGACTCCATTCCCGCCGTGTTTGGGGTCACGAAGGATCCGTTCATCGTGTACACGTCCAATCTGTTTGCCATCTTATCGCTCCGCCAACTCTACACCTTGATCTCCACCGCGGTGGGTGAGCTCAAGTATTTACAGACCGCGGTGGCGCTCGTGCTCGGATTCATCGGATCTAAGATGGTCGTCGAGTACACTGGCGTGGAGATACCCACGGAGCTCTCCTTGGCCGTGGTCGTCACCCTGCTCAGCGGCGGCGTGGCCGCGAGCTTGTATTTGCCAGACGACTCGAAAGACGAAGCGTAAGTAATATTGCGCCGTGATGATCAGAGATTTAGCTCGATTCATCAATTGTTTGTGACTGATTATACAACGTTCTTCGCTATCTCGTCTACTAAGTCGACCCACCGTACACAAACGGGTGATAACCATCACATTCTTCGCGGTGAAATTCCGCATAAATTTTCCCACGACGCATGAGCACTGTCACCCTAATAATGCTACTCACCTCACGGCGCTCGATGGAGACTCGCGAGGACTTTCGCCACGCCTCGACTGAGACTCTCGTACTGCAGCGCCAATCCTTTGTAATCGTTGAGCAATCTCGAGACGTCACCCACGGTCAAGTCGTCCACCTTGGCGTAGAGGAACTTATAGTCAGAAAGCGCGAGCTCGCCCGCGACGTCCAGCGCGGTGAGCGCGGTCGCGCCCTCGGCCTCGACGTCCTCCGTCGTGCGCCAAGGAATGTACGCGGGCGCGGCGGATTTTGTAGCATCAGCCACGCCTCTGGAGGAAACACCCGCGGTGAACGATTCGAGCTCATCATCAATGATCGGCGTGTGCAACTCAACAGGCAAGACGGTGCTCTTGCTCTGCGCCACCGATTCCGGCGTCGCCGGCGCCGGCGCCGACGCGTCAAACTCCAAAGGCGAGCGCTCGTCCCGTCTTTGCTCCGATAACGCACTCAGCGCAGAAGTCATCTCTTCCAAAGAGATCGGCGTCGTCGGTGTCGTCGGTTTTGGGGTTCCCATCGTCGCCGACCCGTTCGTAGCGGGCGGCGGCGGGCTCGTCGACGCGTCGTCCGCCTCGTCCGTTTCTTCTTCCTCGTCGTCGTCGTCCATGTCAATCGGCTCCAGGACTCCAGCCTCGGACAACGCGGCGTTGAACGCGTTCTCGTTCACATCCGTGAAATCGCTCGCCTGCGCCCTGGACAAGAACGCCACCGCGCTCACGAGATTGGTGAAGAAGTACGCCGCCTCGCTCACCAGACGCGACTCGCCTCGAAACCTCTGAATGTACTTCAAATTACTCTCCAAATTCTCCGGATTCGCCCGCAGCGTGACGTACACGAGCACGGGCAAGAACTCATCCGCCCCACCGTCCCCTCCTTGCCTCGACGTGAGCGTGTTGTTGATGATTCGACACGTGTTCAAAACGCACACCAATTTATCTCTCGGCGCCTTGAATTGATTCATCTTTCCGAGCTCACTCTCCGCGAGCGCCCAGGACGCCCTCGCGTGCGAGCTCTCCGCGACGTCCAAATTCTTCGCTTCAATCAGTTCTCTGAGCGCCGCTATCCTTCGTCTCAGCGCCACGTCTCTCTCTTCGTCTCTCCGTCCCCGTCCGAAGACGCGTCCGTGCGCCTTGGTCATGACGTACTTCTCCAATCCCTCCCCACTCGCCTCCAGTTCCGCCGCGGACGCGTTCGCCCACGCCGGGTGCCGCTCGAACGCCGCTTCCGTCTTCTTCAGGAACGCCCGTACCTCGCGGCCGAGCGAGGACGCGTCGCGAGGGAGATCTTCGACGCGTTCGTTCGCACTCGCGTCTCCACCGCGAGCGTCGAGCTCGGCGATGAAACGCTTGACCTCGCGCACGAGCGAGCCCGCGCTCGGTTGACGCATCTTCTCCAGGAAGGTTTGGAACGTCAGGGGGGGCGGGGGGGCGGACGACGTCACGGACATCGCGTCGCGGACCGGCGGATTGTGTCGTTCGAGCGGTTAGGCGCGCGGGACGAGACGAAGCGTTCGCGGGGTCTCGGCGCGGCTCGACGTCGTCGGTTCAAGGCTGAGGCGGAGGAACGCGCGCGGTTTACGACGGTTAAGGTGTAACGTGATCACGTGAGACCCGAAGCGTTACAAGGAGTCGACGACGAACGTCGAAGCGTTCGCCGTCTCGTTCGATGCGGGCTTCTCCCAAGTCTCGCCAATTCGACGCTCGACACCTAGTACTAAGTGAAAACCATCTTTCCGATCGTGAATCGATTAATCGAAGAGATCGAAGTCCATTTCGGCTTCTTCCTCTTCTTCTTCCGGGGCCGCAGCGGCGGCACCACCGGCGGCGTCGCCGCCGGCGGCGGCGGCGCCGCCGGCCGGAGCCGCTCCGGCGGCCGGGACGGAGGCGAGCTTCTTGTTACCCTCCTCGATCAAAGCCGCGACGTCCTTGCCCTCAATCTCCTTGAAGAACGCAGAAAGCTTGGAGTCATCGACTTCGGCGGCGGCTGCGTGTGGAGAAGACGAGACGGGCGTTCGGTCAGTCTGGCGTTCGAGTCCTCGCGCGCGCGCGTCGACGAAACATTCGTAATCCCTCCGCGACGCGCGCGCGAACGTCGATCAACGTACCACCGGCGAGGATGGACTTGACATCAGCCTCGGACGGAGATTCCTTTCCGGCGAGTTGCGCCTGCGATCGCAAAACACACGCGAGCGTCAGTCTTCGCGATCGCCCGAAAGCCCTAGGTCTCGCCCACGAGCGCCATCCTTCACGCCCGCGCGCGCGCGCGCCGACGTCGTTCGCGTGCGAATCACCCTCCGCGGACGCGCGGTAAAATCATTCACGTCCGTCGCCGTCTCCACCACCCGAGCGTCGACCGCGACGCGCCGTGCGTCCTCCGCACACGGCCGCCGCGATGCCTCGGCGTCGCCCGTCACCGTCCATCGTCGTCGTCTCGGACACGCACCAACAGGTAGGCGGCGACGTATTTCATCGGTACGACGTAAAGTGCTTGAAGTGTGTTTCGCTCGTAGCTGAGAACTCGCGAGAGATCTCCTTAGCTGTGAAAGGGCAGGCGTGCGCGCACACTAGAGGCGGATCGATCGCGCGCGGGCGCGGTTTTGGGTGTCGAGGTTAAACCCTAACGACACCCCAATGAGAACGTGTTCGATCCGCGGCGCGCGCGACAGACGACGACGACGCGGGCGAATGAGAGATCGAACGAGGTACGGGCGCGCGCAAAGGGACACCTTCGGTGACGCCGACGTTCACGACGCGCGACGCGCGCATCGAGCGAGACTCGCGAAAGAAAGGGTCCGCGCGCGCGGCGGCGACGAATGTTAAAAAATGGAACACCGGGCGAAAATCCCCGGGCGCTGAGGCAGAGAGTGCCGAGTCTTGACGACCAGGACCTCGGACGCGGAGCGTTGATTTACGATCGACGAATTCCCGCCGAGCACCTCGCCGCGGCACAGTCATGTGTCCACCGCGGATGCAACGCGGTAACTCAACGGGGTTTACTCAGAGCGCTGACGCCCCCCCCAGAGGTCGACTCGTTCGAACTCTCGGTGTTTTCTCGCTCGCAGGGGTGTGAGGCGTCGACGAAGAGTGTCGTGCATCCATCGGATGCGCGTCGTTCGCGACGCTGAAAGGGTGTTTATCAACGCCTCGAGTTTCGAAAAGATTGTTTTCCGTCGTCTTCTCTCCGCCGGTACGACGCTAAGGCTACGCTATCACTCCCCCGACTTGATCTTCACGCCGTGTCTCTTCAAGATTTCGACCGAACACGCGTTCCATATCTTAACCTTATCCTCGTCGGAGACAAAGGCGAAGAGCACGTGATCTATGAGCTCGAAATCTTCCTCGGCGGCGCGGCGGTACGAAATCGCCCCGTCGAACACCGAGTCGATCGTCGCGTGTCCATCATCCTGGGCCTCGGTTAGAGCGGAGTCATCGCTCACTGCCTCGACGACTTTTATATCGATCATCTTCCTCGCGAGCTTCTCGAATTCCGTCTTGAGCGTGCGCTCGACGCGCGCGACGTGTTCGGCGTACAGCTCGCGCGCGCGCGACTCTCCCCCTCTGAGCTTACTCACGTCGTCTCGTCCCAAGGGATCACCCGCGAGATCTCGATCGAACGATTCTTCGTACGATCTCGTGTACGTCTTCACGCGTTCGGCGCACATGGCGGAGAACGCCGCGTCCGCGGCGTCCGCGAAGAGCGCATCCTTGCGTCGCGCGGAAACTCGCTCCGCCTCGCGCGTCGATCGCATCGCCTCCGCCTCGCGCGCTCGCAACGCCCGCGCCTCCGCCTCCGGGTCCCTCCTTCGCTTCACGCGCGCGTTCGGCGCCCGCGCGTTCGCCATGTCGTCCCGTCGTCGTCTCGCGTACGCCTCGAACGCCGCCCGCCGCTCGGCGTGCGTCCCCACCATCCCGAACCGCGCGTCTCGCTGCGTCTTCATCACCACCCGATCCCACCGCACGCTCGCGATCGCCCCGTTCGGGAACGTCTCCTCCAACAGCGCCTCGAAGCGCGCGATCGTCCCCCGTCGCGCGTCGACGTCTTCGCCCGCGACGCGCCGCGCGTCCCGCGTCCACGCCCCCCGCGTCCTCGCCGACGTCCCGTCCTCGTCCGAGCTCACGTACGCGTCCGGGTCCACGCACACGTCATCGCTCGCCCTCGACATCGCGCGCGCGTCCATCGTCGCCCCCCTCGCGCGGCGACGAGTGTCGCGCCGCAGACCTCGACGCGCGCGTCAACCATCTCCGATGCCCCCGCCGTCGTGGTTCCACGTCGCGATGCACCGCGAGCCGGTGGTGATGTGGAGCCTCTTCCTCGGCGCCCTCGGGATGGCGCTCCCGCTCGTCGTCCCCAGAGACGCGTTCGCGCGCGCGTCGACGCGCGCGCGGAATCCACCATCCGCCGCGGACGTCGTCGCCGCGCTCCGTCCAGGGCGCGCGTGAGCGCGTCTCCGGGCGCGGGCGCGCGCGGGGGCGGTGGGACGGCCGTCGCGTGACGAGAACGATCGCGCGCGGCGTCGACGGACGCGGACCATCGCGCGCGGGCGATCGCGCGCGGGCGTGGACGCGGCGCGCATGTACCCGTAAGTTTTGCGACACCACGACGTGGCTGGTCGGTGGGCGAAAATTTACCGATGTCGTACTGTAAGCTTGCTTAGCTCAGTTGGTAGTAGCGTGCCCTTCGTACACGAATGTCGTCGGTCGACCGACGACGAACCTCGCGCCACGGCGACGACGGAAGAGGGTAAGGTCACGCGTTCGAACCGCGTAGCGAGCATTTTTTTTGACTGAAGTGATGTGCTTCGTGATGTGCTCAACGAGTCAAATCTCCGACTTCGTGCGAGACGAGGCGCCCTCGCGGTCCGTCGACGCGGCGGGCGACGACGCGCCGGTGGGCGACGACGCGGGACGCGCCCGCGATCGTTTTCGCGCGCGTTCGCCCGACCCTCGCGCGCGTACGCGACCGTCGTCGCGCGCGCGTTGCCGTCGACGTCGTGCCATCGCTCAATGTGTGACGTATATACGTCGAATCCTCATTCTATACGTACCGTGTGTCCGAGAACATATTTATATGTGTGTCACCCCGCACGCGCGCGTCGCAACACCTTCGCGCGGCGATCGTCGCGTCGACGCGTCCAACGCGCGCGTGACAGCGCGCGCGCGCGACGTCGTCGTCGTCCGACCGCGCGTCCCGGTCCGGGGGGTCGGTCGCGGCATCGATCGCGACGCGCGGGCGTCGCACGGCGGGGGAACGAATCGATCGCGACCGACGGATCGAATTCATTCATTCACCGCGCGCGACCGTGATCGGCGACGCGTCGACGACGACGACGCGCGCGACGGCTCGAAAGCGACGCGAACGTCCGTGGACGGCTGGTGGTGAACGATGGGAGGGGCGGACGCGCGCGTGGACGCCGCGCGCGAGGGGTTCGCGGCGGCGACCGTCGCGCGCCTGGCGTGGAGCGGGTGGGTCCGGGTGACGGCGCGACGCCGCGCGATCGACGCGCGCGCGATCGAGTTGTACGACGATCGAACGAAGCGACTCACGGCTCGGGCGCTCGTGGCGTGGAGTCGGGCGACGAAGTTTCAGAATAAGCGGCGAGAGATGTTGGGCGAACGGTGCGCGGAGAAATTGAAAAGCGCCGCGATGGGTCGGACGCTGTGGGCGTGGAAGACGACGGTGCGCGAGCAGAGAAACGCGAGGAGGGATGTGATTCGGAATTATTTGCTCTGGAGGGCGAAGCGGTTTCTGAGGGCGTGGCGCGACGTCGCGATGGAGGGCGCGAAGGACAGACCGAAGAAGCCGAGGGTGGAAAAATCGGCGAGCGAACAGTCGACGGCGACGGCGACGGCGCTATCGCCGACGCCCACTCGAGCGCCGCGGCAGCGCATCTCCGTCACGGACATGAAGCAAAGGCTTTGGACCAAGGCGGACGCGTCGACGAAACCCATGCCCACGGTTCCTCAGGAATTCATCGAGGAGATTCAGGAAATCGAAGCCAAGCGACTAGCGGCCCAAGCGGCGGAAGAATCCGTCGAGGCGGAACGCGTCGACACGGTTGCGACTCACGAAGAATCTAGTGAAGAGCCAGCGTCGACATCGACGACAACGACGACGAAACAACACGTAAAGATTCAGCGGCGAAAAGTCACCGTTCGCCGCGCGGAGGATGGTTCAACGCCCGAGGAGGTGCCCGTGCCAGTCATCAAAAAGAAAACCGTCACGAAGAAGGCTTTACGAGACGTGGCGACGATGACGACGACAGAGAAAGAAATCACGACGAGTGCTGCGTCAGCCGATAACGTCTCGTCGACGTCAAACTCTTCGTCACACTCTTCTTTCTTTTCGATTCTCATTCTCGTCGTCGCCGCGCTCGCCGTAGTCGGCGCCGTCGCTCTCGCCAGCGTTGTCACCGGTTTCTCCGTCATGTCACCGATGGAAGGTAGCGTGGCGACGCAAATGGTTCGCAAGCACTTGTCCGAGGCACAGAAAAATGTCACGCTACTCGCGCGTGCGTCGGCGATGCAGCGACGAGAGTTGGAGGCGTGTCGAACATTCGGCGGCGGCGTTCCAGACGCAAGTCAAAACGCCGCCATTGCCTCAGCGCAGGCCAAGGTTTCTGATTCCATGCACAAGGTGGCTGACCTCGAAGCTCAGTTATCGCAATATCAAGCTGACGTTGCCGCCGCCCGGAGCGCGCAAAAACTAGCCGAGGACCGCTTCAAAAGGCTCGGAGAGGGCGCCATGAAGACGGCAATTTTGCAAGAGTCTCTACAAAAGGCACAGACGCGCGCTGCGTATTGCGAGAGTACATCAGCCCGAGCGTTGAAGATTCAGGCCATGAAGGACGCGGCGGAGTCAAGGGCCGAAACTGCTGAGCGCGAGTTGACGTCCAAGACGGATGAGCTCACAAAGACGCAGGCGCAACTCACCTCGGCGCAGCGCGCGCTGACGAAAACCGTCGAGGTCGCCAATGAATGCAGAAGATCGGTGGGTAAGGCGCCGTACGAGCCGACGTATTACACTACACGCTCGTTCATCCGTCTCATCGTGGACGTCTTCCCTGCTCTGGCGTGGTTCTTCTCCAAGACCGCGATGGTGTTTTACTTCGTGTGCGGGTACGCTTACTACCTGCGCGTCATGGTTCGCGAATTAGTCGGCGAGCGCGACACGCTCGTGAGCGAGCTCGCAAAGCTTCGCGTAGGGGGCGTGGACGTTGTTGAGACGGCTAGGTTGCATCATCTAGATCGGACCGAGAAACTCGGCGATGAAGACTCAACGTTGATCATCGATGACGAGGGCGCGAACGCGGCGTCTCTAAACATCGATAGGAAACGCTCTCGAAGCGTCGACGATGTCGTCGAGCAGGTAGAGACAACGCAGAAGAAGACGGCGACGATGCTCGACGTCGTGACGGAGTCGAAACTGGAGGTTGACGAAGTGAAGAAGTCTGGCGCGGCAACACCGGGAAGCGATTCGGGTGAGCGCCGAGACCGCGCGCACAATCTCATGGAAAACTGGGTGGCGAAATCGCAGGATGACGAGATTAGCGACGAACTTGCTCGCATTCGTAGACTCGTCGAAGTCGAGAACGAGAGAGAAAGACAAGAGGAAGAAGAGCGATTAGAACAACTCAAGCGCCGAATCAGAGCACAAGACAACTCGTAATGTAAAACAACTTCAAGTACTCACCGCGGCGGCGTGTCTACACCTCCACTCCTCCTTCCTTGCCACGCTGCATGATTTTCTTCGCCGCGTACGGTCTCACTAACTCCGCGGCATCGAGTTCGTCGATTATCTCTTTCACGGCGGGCTCGATATCGGCGCGCATGGACGCCGTGACGCCGCGCTCGGCGAGCGCGTCCAGGACGACGGTGATTTTCATCGGGTCGACGCCCGCAAACTCCGGGACGCGCTCGCTCAAAATATTCGGGTTGTGGAAGTACTCACACGCCTCTCGACTCGCGCGAACCTTGACAAAGGCTCGAGCGACCATCTCGCGGTGAAAACACGCCAGCGCGGTTTGCGGCGGCGCCTTTTGTAACCACTTGGACAGCGCCCAAGCGTCGAAGAGCGCGGTATTCGCGCCCTGGCCTTTGAATGGCGACATCGGGTGCGCCGCGTCGCCGATACAAATCACTCTGGATTTCGCGCTACGCAGCGCGAGATGGGGCTTCTCCGTCGCCGCGGACTTGCTCGTCGGCGGCTCCTCTCTGTCGTACAGCGGTCCCGCCCACGCGTCGTTCCAGTCGGTGCAGTCGAACATCGCGGAGATGGGATCGTGCCAACCTCTCGTGTGCTTCAACACGAACTCGCGAATGCGATCGTTCGAAGCGTCGGCGAGCTCTTTCGCCTCGTCTTCGCTCACGCGCACGCTCAACTGCCACATGCTCCGCGGCGGCGTTCCCGCCTCCTCGTTCGCCGCTTGGAAGGGCATCGTGAACATTCTCGATCGCCCGTCCACCGTGTAAAACCCGCGTCCTTTGAGAAGATAATCGTCCAAATCGGTGAAACCGGTGACGAGGGCGACGCCGAGGTATCGCAACTCGCCCGATTTCACGTCGTCACCCGCTCCCGGCGCCCGTCTCGTGCTGCTCCGCGCGCCGTCGGCGATGACCAAAATCGTCCCCTCCACCGTCTCCCCGCTCTCCAGCGTCACCGTGACCCCATCTTCGCCCTCGACGTAATCCGACACCTTGGCCCCCCATCGCACCGTCGCCGGTGGAAGCATCTCTAAAAAAATCTCTCGCAACGCGCTCCTCGGCACGCGCAAGTTCCCACCGCCGCGCGCCACCGTCCCACCCCCCTCCCCGTCCACATCGCCGCC